AACAAAACCATTATACCCTGATTTCCCATTTTTAATGGGTTCAGGGTATAAAAAACTACATACATTTAATATTATGATCATGATCTGAAAGTTATATGATGATAGTTCTACTATAAATTAAATTATTCAAGTAAATTCTCTTAATATTGTCCATATTGCAGCCAGCACCAAGCGCAGTCGGTGCTTACTGCGCAGTTAACAGAGCACGGGCTTGTTTAAAATATACAAGTTGTCAACAGGATGGTGAAATAATCTGAACATACCAACTGTGTTCAATTTACTTAAACTAATGTGAACTGCACACTCCTTTCATTCAGCTTTGGTAAATTACTAAAAACAGACTGAACTCACCAATGCTTTCCTCAGTTTGAGCCCATTTTAACTTATGTAAACGATAACTCACCACAGTTTCACACTGCTTGGCTCTCTACTTTACTTCATAATTGTGTTCAATTTATGTTAAGCAGGTCTCACCAAAGCTGTACACTGCTTGCTCTCGTTTCTTAACTTGATAAATTTGTTGAGACTAACAAACCAAACAGGAACAATAAATTTGTTGAATTTAACAACGAGAACTCACCAAAGCTGAATGTATTATAAAAGTTTTAGCTATATCGTTGTGGCATTTTAAAAAATAAATACGCCTAGGTTGGACTATTTATGTAAATGCACTTATCAATCCCGATGACTTTTACTCTAGTGGATCTACATGAATGGAAGAAGTTCGATTACTTAGCTCCATCTACATATGTATGTATATGACAACATTTATAAAGTACGATAGGTAGCGCTTGCGTGCTGTTTTGTTATTCAATAAACTAAATGTGCGATGTGCTCTTTTAAATTTTATACTTTCAACTTATTCGATTTCCATACATAGGTGGCGCAAAATAATGCGGACCCGTCCAGAACATACGTGGAAAATCGGAAACTGCATCTCAAAGCATTTGGGCAGTGAATATTTTACTTTATCTATATGTATTGTGCTTGTTTAAGTAAGGATTATCTTTGATATCGAATAAAATGTTCGAAATTATTTGTATATTTCTTAAATCCGCTTACATTGAATATAAAAATAATTGATCCTTACAATAAATACAATATAATATATATAATCAGTCATAGACTGGCAGCAATGCATAGACATCAGTCCGGCAAACGGGACAACGATGGCCACTTTCCAAACGGTGCAGCTGCTGGGCACACTCTTTACATAGGCATAGATGTCGACAGGGAAGGATAACGATGTTCTTGTTCCTTTCTAGACACACTACACAGTGTGATCGATGACCCGAACCATTCGCCGATGCTACCGAAACTTCAAACTTTTGAAACACCCAGGAGATTTGCTCATTAGCCCAGTTCGCCGACCACTGTAAAGCCAAGCGCCATTTTGCTGAGATCTCATTAATGATGGTCCTTAAGAGATAAAGCGCTAGCAGATGGACATATCTGCGAAACATGTAGATCACCAGAAGCATAATAATGCCAATCGTGAGCTGGAAGACGTTCTTAAGTAAATATGTGCCACGCTCAACAATATTTCGAGCTAATTGATCAAGCGCTAGAATAATATAGTCAACTATAACTATAATGGCTCGCGGGACCAGCATAAGTGTCCACAGTGTGCAGTGGCCAAGTCCAATAAGTACGTTGCCCATGAAAAGGACCAGTTCCTCTGCCAAGTACCGCGCAAGATTGAGCCCATCTCCGGTACCATAGTAAATGTAGGCCCAAACATTGCCTACAATATCCTGAAGTTCGTTATAACAAATATTGCACTCCTTCGCAATAATAGTTGTTATTCGGTAAAAATCACATAATACGCTCCAGATGTGCCCACCGGCTTCGACGAGGCAGTAACCTATGAACCAGCTGGCAGCGAAAAAATAATATATTATATATATAATGCCCTCAATCGCGGTCGAAATAGGCAGCAATAGCAAAGCATCAATTACAGTTACAACTGTAGTTAGTATTGAAAACATAGTACACGCCGCAAATACATTTTAAATAAATTGAAACGAAAGGAACAAAATGATAACAATAGCAATGCCACTCCAAGTGACAGGAATAGTCGACTCTGCAATCGATAGCACGATATCACCGTGAGAAGAAGCACGAACCATGGCTGAACATGAATTTTTATAAGCTATCGATACAGCTCAAAAGTTACACACGATTTGAATTATTGCTCTTATACACAGCTAAAAGTACTTTTTTTTCTTTTTCTTTTATTATTAAATAAAATAACACAATTTTGCTATACCTATAGCAGTTATAGTAATAATACCTATTAGATATTTCTTATATATTTAAAATACAAATAAACTTATAGAATATCGACACGTGCCCATTACACAATAAAGTTCGCTAGTTCATGCTGCCGTTGATATTGGTGTTGGAAATACCTATTTTATTTATTAAAGTTATAAGCTCGCTATTCCTTTTCATTACAGCCATAACTTCCAATTGCTGTTGCTTCATAATACGTAGCCGATTGCGCTCCTCAATTTTGGTGAGTTGGTTGTTGCTATTTATATTTTTGGTATCCACATCCAGCTTCTGTTCACATTTGATGTGGTAGAGCTCATCACGAATACTATGTAATTTACGCTCGCAGTCGCGCACGTCTTTCTCTAATATTTGAGTCTTCAGGTAGACTGTTTGCGCTAGTTTATACCAATCAGCCAGACATTCCGCCATTTGAGCGACAGCAGGATTCACATTTTCCAAAAGCAATTGCTTAATACGTTTGCCATTATGATCCACTTTTATTTTCTCTAGGGCATGGAACTGTTCATCGTTGTAAGTTAGGGTACGTGTCGCACGGTCACGTAGCAAATGTTGCCAAGAGTCACGCAAGCGCTCCACCAAATACTTTGCCTGCGCGCTAGCTCTTGTACGGCAAGGGCATTTCTTGCCATGCATCAGAGATGACCATTGGTCACTGCAAGTTATCAAGAATAACAGTTTGACTTTGACTTTGACTCCATAAATTATGCTTACTTTAGCTCATCATCTGTAACAAAATGTTTGTGCATCTGGGTTATAACATCCGCCGCACCATCGAATTCACTCTTTACGCCATCCAGGGAACAGAGAAGAGTCTTTAATTCCTGGTCGCCCTTTGTCTTCGTAAATAAAATCGTATAAGATTTACAATAGATACATAAATCTACTCTAACATACCACACTTGCCATAACGCGCACAACATCTGTGTAGTCTACAACGGTGGACAGCAGATTGTCAAAGCTTTCCGTTTTTCTGTAAATATAAATCCATATTTTAAATTAAAACCCAATTCTTTAAATAGCTCCACTAGCTTAGCTTCATTTAGATTTCGATTTTGTGATAATGTTAAGAGATATTTGGTGAGGAAGCATACACAAGGGGACTCCTAAAATCAAAATGAATAGTCTTATTTTTCTTTTTATCAGAGAGAACTACATACGCATTCATGAATATGTTGTTATCACGCTCTGAATTTGATTGAGAAAGTCTATCAGAAGACGTAATATTCAACAATTCAGTTCCCGCATACTACAGTCCACACAACAAGCTGCATTAAATGCGCAGTAAGCATAGTGCGATCTTATATGTACATACGTGCGTGTACATGTGTTATTTGCTATGTACACATTTCTAAAAGAAACAGAGTGATTGGAATCAGCTCTTCGATTGGCTCTGGGTAGGTTTCGAACAGTGCCGATTAAAACATTACATTCCATTGTTTATCCTAACTTACTTCAACAATAAAGTAATGGTGGTTATTAACATCTCAATGAATTGCTCAACTGCCTTTTTAATGAGTATATCCATGGTGGTAAAGATATCTACGCGTCTTTTGCATTCGTGACCCACACTGCAAGCAGCCTGCGAAAATAGATATTGTTATATATCGAAAAAAATTTGTGAAATAATATCTTGATTATATTACCTTTGCGAGGCTCGCATCATTTTCTACCGAAACATTTGGTGGAAATACTGGAAATTTAGGCAATTCCAATTGCTGTGGCAATTGAACATTGTTATCGTCATTGCTGTAGAGAAATATAGGGTGTTCCGTTGTTGTCTTGGGAAAGGCTTTCGCTGTAAAGTAATTTTGTTTTTATACATAATTATGAAAAACTGTAAACATGGTATTCATTCATATTACCAATAGTATGGGGAGAGACTTTCTTTTCAAGATGCTCGTTATTGAAGAGCAATATTTGCTTTTCAACTGGTACCTCGGTTTGCAGGAATATTCGCTCTCTAAAGTTATCGATCTGCTCATTCGGCTCCAGAAATACCTCTACAGATGTGGTACGATTTGTAAAGAAGACGTGGATAACACGTTTGCGCAAAATTAAGGTCACTTCTTGAAAGAATCGATCAAAGGACCAAGTTTTCTCGCGATTCTCCTCCAATAAACCAGCAAGCAGAGGAGTCACGAGCGTTTTTAATCCTTGCGATAAATGTGCATGTGGCGGCAGTGTTGTCGACCACTCAATTGGTCCATTTTCGGCTAACTGTGTTCCAGATATCACTCCCGAGGCTTTCTTCGTAGTTATTTGATGCATGGTTTCGCGATTCTTACGTCCGCCGTATGGTCTAAAGGGCAAGTTTCCCGTAGCCACATGGTATAGCGTTACCCCAATGGACCACAAATCTACATTTGCAGTAAATGACCGTTGAATAGACTTTCGGAGCACGGCCCGTTCATATAGATCGGGATGCAGATACTCCTCAGTTCCATAGAGCGAAGCAAATGGCTGATTATCCTCGAGTTCTCGAGCAGCACCAAAGTCGGTTAGCTTATATATGGTTTGACCGTCTTCAGATATAAATTTCATAATATTTCCGGGTTTGAGGTCCCGATGTACCAGCTTATTGTCACGCAAATGTTTCATGCCGGCACATAGATGCTCCAGCACCAAGAGGAATTCTTGTTCGGGTAAGCCATAGGAGTTCTCTGGATCATCGAGAATATTAAATAAACTTCCACCCGTGCATAGTTCCATAACAATTACTTTGCCGCGTCCTTCTTGATCCTCCTCAATAGCTAATAATTTGACAATGTTCTCGTGGTTTACTTTTTTCAAAGCTTCAAACTCGCGCATCTGCACATCGGCAGGGCGCATGTGGCTGTACGGGTTGAACGTTTTTACGGCAACGGATTCTCCAGTTGTCTTATTCACTCCCTGAAAAAGCGAACTTGAAGTATCATTTTCAAAAAATATAAATTTGTATTTTCCTACCTGGAACACAGATCCGGTTGCACCTTTTCCCAGCACGCTGGTTGTACACCAAACATAATTCAACGAGCCTCGCAAGAATGACATTTTTAAAAGAAACTAAATAACCCCAGTTTGTCTACAAGCATTAATAAAAGAAACGCAAAAGAGAGTTGCTAGTTTATTGTTGACGAATCCCGCATATTTCGATTAATCGAATTATTTTTGTTAATACAAATCGAGCAGGTTCGGATAGTTTTAAAATTCAGTATTTTTAATCGTGTATCGTTCTGTACTTCTTGATTAGATTGAAGTGAACAATTTTAAAACAGTAGTTTTAGAATTCTAAGAGAGGAAAAATATTTTCATATGGTAAAAGAATAATTATTAACGATAATGGTACCATTGAATAAAATAATCGATAGCACATATGGCGAAACATCCATATGGTAAAAGAATAATTATTAACGATAATGGTATCATTGAATAAAATAATCGATAGCACATATCGCGAAACATCCATCTTTAGTTGTAATTTGTTTTATTTTTGTATACGCTGCGACAACTTTAAGCAGCACTTAAATCTTTATTATTTGTTAAAGCAACACAGTATGACAGTTTTGTGCGGAGCTTATATGCTTCCCCGCATCGTTAGTGAGCAAATGGCAAATATGCACATAAAATAAAATAATTTTAGCAGTAGTGGGCGAGTAAATTGAAACATTCTCGCTCATAGGAAGGCCTTCTGTTGTGAGTTCTTGATAACAAGCGTTGCGTGTCTGCGCTGGAACACGAAAGAATGAAAATTAGGCTGCATTTAGTACGTTTTATGTACATAAATCTTATACTAAGGTAAGACAGCTACTTTCCTTATAAATTAATAAGAAATTCAGATTAGCTGTTACCATTCTTTCCCTTTTTTTTCATATTTTCGTTGTGTCCTGCAGCTGCTGCTTCTGGCTGTATGACATCGATGCCGCAGCAGACGTCGTCGCAACAAATGCTGCAACAGTAAATAATGCCGAGGAAAAAATACAAGAGGCAGGTCCCCGAAGACAGGGGCCAGTAACAAATGAAGAGGACTTCTTTATCAACCCCTTGCTGAATGTTAAAAATGATGTAAATGTTCCAACAGAAAAGGGGCCGGCAGCTACCACTGCGCAGACAACGGTCGCGGCGCCTAAAATATCGTCGAGTTCTACGTCATCGCGTCCAGATGCAGATAATATGATGAAAGTGGGCACCGAGCCAATCACCGACACAGAAACTATAAACGCCGCGGTAACGGACACGTCAGTGAATATGAACGTGCTGCCGTCTGATGTAAATTTCAATAATAACAGCTATGTTAGTGTAGTGCCTAACAGTGTAGAGAATAGCAATGCTGAAAATGAAGTGACCGTTAATGTGCCAAATAATCAATTAAATAAACAAAATGATAATATGTATATAACAAATAATGTAGATGTAAATCAACTAGATAAATCACAGCCAACAAATTTAGTTGATAATGTGGTAAGACCCATTTCAGCTAAGGGACAAAAACAACAAAAACAAGACCAGCAGGAAGAGAGGTACGTTGTTATTGTAATTTTCATACGTATTTTAAACAGAACTCTCATGACACCAAACCACACGTATAAATGTACACATTTAAGTAACGTAATTGAAATTATCAATATAAAAATGTTTAACCCCAAACGTGGTGTATCGTAACTTTCCTGTTTAATTTAACCGTGAATAAATGCTCTTATTGTACGATAAAAAGGAATAAAGAGAAAGACAGACAGAGCGAGCGAGCGAGAGAGAGACAGACAGACGAAACAATTTGAGAAAAAAACAAGTAAGAAGGCTCTAGTCGAGACTGCTCGACTAGGAGATACCCTGAACCCTC